CAGGAATGCAATGACTTGAGGCACCAAAAAGATAATTTGTATATAACAACTTTAATATTAACAAGGTGTATTAGCAACACTTTAGGAACCATTTGAAACATCTCTCCTTTGTCTTTTGAGTAAGCTGAAAAGAATTTAGCATCTCCTTAATTCTGTGGTGCTTTTTGTTAACTGAGTTGCATCATCTTCAGTGCCTTGTAAGTTGGGTTTTTTTGCCTGGCATTTTCAGTAAACTAACTCTTGAGATAGAAGGGATAGATCTTCTTTTTGTGCTTCAAAATTAACTGTTTTAAATGTTATCTGTAATTGAAATTTTATTCTGCAGTGTTGATTTGTATGAATGTTTTACTGCAATAGATCATTATTTAGCAAGTTGTCTGTACATTTATCAGTTTTACTCTTCCTCAAAATGTTAGGCTTTAAATCTGACCACCATTCTTGGGTTTTATGATTTGATACTACATGTTCAAATAGCATAATTACAAAACTTTGGTGTTTATATGTTCTTTTTCATCTTCTGATGAACTATTCTCTTCCAGTAAGAACTCCTCAGTCTGGGACTTTGGCAAAACTTCAGGGTGTGGGATAATTTATTAAAGGTTTTTTTTAATGTGTGTACCGCATGCAGTAGTGCAAAAAAACAATGAGAAAGAGATCTGTCTTTCATTCAAGGAATTTAATCTCCAGTGAATTACATTTCACTTGGTATTTATTTTCTCACTATACAGTGTCATAAAGTAAAAACTGTTGTAAAAGAAATACCATGAAAGTAAAGCAGGGTTATCATAGAACCCTTGCGTCTGAATTGCTTGCAGTTTATTATGGAATTGCTAACTTTGACATATTAATGAAGAGGACACTTTACTGTGGAGAATTGTAAATTTACTTTTGAGTAAGAATCATTATGAGCTTAGAAATGTGTCTTCTGTTGTTTTTTTTTAATTAGAACAATCTCTTGCGAGTCCTTCTTAATAGTAGTTAACGTAGACACTTAGCTATTGCTGCATGTTTAAATGGCAAGGCGAAATTTAATGTTTAGCCAAGGTGGCATGTTTTGTAAAAACAAATCCAATAACAAAACAAAGAAGCCCCCTATCCACCTTGAGGATGAGTAACAGTGATGTACAGTGAAAGTTTATTTGTTATTTTAAGATTTTACAGTATTCTGATTACTGTATATCCTCCCGTTGCCATCACTATCTCTCTAAAGAGAATAGGTGCAATAACATGTCCTGTACTTCTAGAAGAAGCTAAAGTTGAGACTTGCCATGCCTTCTTATTTTTTGAGCATTATTTTTCAACATACAAGTGCTTTCATGGATGTCATCTTCTCTTAATTAGCAGAGCTTTCTGCCACCAATATCAATTAGTTAGAAAAGGTATATGGATTTTTTTTTTAAACTCCTGTGGAGACTTATGTCAAAGTTAGCAGTGCAACGATAACTAGTTAGCTTCTTAATGCAACCAAATTAAAGACAGAGGAAGCTGTTTACCAATAAACTGTGCATGGCAGCATGCCAGTATTTTTCTTTTGGGGGATGTAACATCTTTACATGTTTAATAAAGCTCTCAGTTTCATAATACTTGACCTTAGTGGGAAGGTGCTGTGGTGCTAAATTCACACTTATCGTATCTCTCTGATGATAGTGTATACAAGTTGCTCATTATCATGTATAAATTCTTTAAAAATGGGAAGCAGGTGAACTTGAATCCTATAAGTAAAAATTTGGATGTGTATTTAAATGTTCCTAATCTTTTTTATTTGCTGTCATGTTGTCATTGATATGGAACATTTTCTGTTTACTCAACAGTAGTACTTCCTTCATTATTTTGTAGAAACGTAAATATTTTTAGGGGTCTCCTGTGAATACTCTTAAGTTTAAGAGTCTTACTAAAAAAATTACACTAATATATCATATGATTAATGAAGGAGGGTGTGGATTAAATGAGACTGCTTTTATTCTCACAAAATTCAGTCAAGAGTCAAAATCTTTGCTTGTAACTGCCCCAGTTATGTGCAGGATGCCTAACGGTAAAACATGGACACTTAAACCTCCCTACAAACTAAAAATATAACTGTAACTGCAGTCACATTTACATCGACTGTGCTGGGAACAGATTTCATACCATAAGTCAAAACAGAATTTCAGTGAACTCTTTAAAGTGGTATTACCTGGTAAAGTTCTTTGGGGTTGTTGTTGTGGTTAGAATTTCTGCACTGACTTGGGAGTTGAAGCTAAATACATTTCAGTAGCTTAAGGCATCACAGATAGGAAGCAGAACTTGGTTTACATACTGATATTAACTTTTTTAGAGTAAATTAGTTTAATTCTAAATTGGATAAAAACAAGTAATATCACTTTCTTTACATTCTATTTTTATTTTGATTTTTTTTTTATCAGGGTGAACAACTGTGTAGGATTCTCCAATTACAAATTTTTTCTTCTCTTCTTGGCTTACTCTCTACTGTATTGCCTCTTTATTGCTGCAACAGATTTACAGTATTTTATCAAGTTTTGGACAGTAAGTACTCTGATGTATATATACTGTCTTTAAGCATATGAAGCTACCACTGTGCAAGAAATATAAGATTCAAGGCTTTACATTGTAATCTACAACAGTTTATCTAATAATCATAGCCCTCTAGTTTTTTTCTGTTTATCATAGTTTATGAAATTTCATTTATTCCTACATTATTTTGAAGCTGTGTAGAACAAGTATGCAATTATTAATTATTTAAAAAATAGTTTACAAGGGAATTTATATCATATATGTGTGTGTGTTAACTTTTAATGCTATGCTATGAAAAGGCTTCAGGGACATTTTTTAGTATTTTAATTATGATTATCTGGGTTCACAACTTAGGATATTACCTTATTTGATTTGCAGTAGTATTCAGTATTTGCAGTATTTGTGCATTTGATTTGCAGTATTTATGCTATAACTATTCTGAAGAGTCTAATTAAACAAGACAATTTTTGTATAGAGAAATTATTTTTCTCTAAAAGGCCCTTTAAAGTTCAGATCCAAATTGCAGGTTCTTGTTGTCAGTATTTATCAAGAAAGGGCCGTTTCTTTAACTTAGATGCTGTCAACAACCTAATTGCATGGCCATTCGTGCATGAAAGGTGTATAATTCACTTATTCAGACTCTTGTTGCATGGTACGTTTGTGTCTGCACTGAATTTGATTTGGTTGCATAGAGGATTATTAATGATCAAATTAAACAACTATTTCCCCAATTGTAATGGCAACATTTTTTTTTTTTTTATTTTTAGAATGGCCTTCCTGATACTCAAGCCAAGTTCCACATCATGTTTTTATTCTTTGCTGCAGCTATGTTTTCTGTCAGTCTGTCTTCTCTCTTTGGGTATCACTGTTGGCTTGTCAGCAAGAATAAGTCTACATTAGGTAAGTGGATTTCATGCTTCTGTGTTTGACAGCAAAAAATAAATAATAGATGTATACTACATGTATGGGGGTAATGGAAAAAGTGGGCAATCCTGTACAGGGTTCTTGGATCCTGGTTAAAAGTGCTCAGGTCTGGCGGTGACCAGTACTGGTGCTCCCCGGAATTCCGGCCTTTTTCCTCCTGCCCCAAGGGGCCAAGCTGTTATTGAACTTACTCTCTTCCTCCCTGTCCTCCCATCTGCAGCTTGTTAACAGAAACTGAATAAAGTAAAAAAAAAAATAATAATTGAGATAACTTTGTAATAAGTGTTAGGCGCACTAATGCATCCTCTTACAAGTGCTTCTTGTTTGGCATTCCTAGCCCCCAGATTAGAGTCCTCTTGATGTGCTGTCTCAGTCAGGGCAGTGGCTCCAGCGCTTTCTTCCCACCCATGCCCCCTGCAGAACCAAAGTTCCTCTGTTCAATTCAGATAGAATTTTCTTTAAAAGCTCTCAAAGGCATCATTGTTAATTCCAGAACTTTGCCTGTACTGGTGGCAAGGAGAGAAAAAAATCTGGAAGGCAGGCTGCTGGTGGCCCTAGTAGTGTTAACTTTGATCAACATGAATGAGCACAAAGAACCAATGTCAGAGAATGATCTGATAGCAAAAAACAGACCTTAGTGCAGTGCTTCTGTATTTAGTAGGAAATGAACATGGGGATGTGAAAGGCAGTTTCACGGTGGTGAGTCCTGTCTACCACATAATCATAGGTGCACAGAAAGGACTTTGTTACAAGTTAATTTTAAAAACCTCAAAGAAGATGGCCTATGCCTCTACTATGGGGCAGCATGTATAACTGCACTGAATATTGGCATTAAATCAGGATTTCCCACCACTTGGATACATGTTTGTCTGGTCACAATCTTAATAAATAAATAAATGAATACATGGAAGTGCAGAAGATTAGGGTGCCTTTTCTATACTATATCCTGGACTGTAACAATACCGATTTGCAATATATTAATTAAAGTTTCTAAATCTCTAAGTGCTTTTCTGTTGACATAAACTGAATTGGAGGATGCCAATTAATTGATCAGTTTTTTCCAGTTCTCTTGGGACTTCCTAATATGTAGATGATTAATGGAAAGCTTGCAATATATATAATTGGAAGACAGTTTCTTTACTTCAGGATTTTTTGAGGGTTTGTGGGTTTCTTCAGTATTCTGAAAAATCATCTACTTAGAAATCAGTATCAGAAAAAATTGTTCAGTCTAGTTATAAGTGGAGAAAAGTTTTATTAATGATGCTTAAATGAATGGAAATAATTAAGTATTCTGTTTATAAACTATTCTTATCATTTTAGTGCCTAAAAAAATTTGTTCAAAGGTAACCATAATGCAGTACACTTCTAATTCAACATTTCATTTTTTTAAAACAAGTTTAATTCCATGCAGGTAATATGCCATGTTTTTGGTACACTTAAGCTATTCAAAAAGATCTGTTAGTCTCTTCTTCGCATTTTACTTTGGGAAATTGCTCGATCTGTGAAAGCCAGAACATGAACTAGTTTGGTAACAGAACCATGACATCTTTAAGCGTGACTGTGCTTAAATCATCCTGGGAGCTGTTTTCCTAGCCTGACATGGGCATCTAAAAGAGTAGCTCTGTTTTTCTTTCCCCCTTCTTTAAAACATCTTGTAACTAATGCATACTACGTATTGAAGGTCATTTCCAGCAGTTCATAGCTAAGGATTTGCTGCAGAAGGATGATTTCTGCATGGTTCCATCATGGTTTGTGTGAGCTGTACTGTCAGGACATCAGGACATGGTTTGCCTACTATATATAGCCAATTAAGGGAATTAAATTAGAAGTCACTTGGAGTTTTCTGCTTCAGGCACTTTGCAACACTTAAAGCTATATTTAGCTCTCTTCTCCAGAAATTCAGGTTGGAGTTCCATGGGGAGTAATCTGGGTCTACAAGTAAAGTGCTTGCTTTATGCAGCAGTAAAAACACACAATATTTTCATACCCCAGAGCATGAAAAGCTAGTCTTACTGCTAAAGTAGGTTAAGCTTTTCTTCTTTTTCGTTACTCTTTCTGTAGTAAACCCTTTGCTTAGGTGTTTCTTTCTTGAACACGCTGTGTGGTATAGTCACATGCTGAAATCTTCGTGTAACATATCACACCTTCTTAAAAAGTGAGTTCCTCACTCTTCATTGTCTTGATTAGGGAGGAGGGTGAAGGTGACCTCTACCCTTCCTCAGCCACAGGACTTTCTCTGCATGCACAGTGACTGTGTCGCACAGACTTTGGCTTTCATGAGTGGACTAGCTTTCTCAGTCATTTGGGCAGTACAGCCTTTCCTCTTGGATGATGGTATCATCAGTGCAATTGCCTAAATTCAGGTGTGAAACTTAAACGTGCTATCTTGCAAGGGGATCTAATTATTTTTTTTTCTTTTAAGAGGTATTCAGAGCTCCCATATTTCGTCATAGAACAGACAAGAACGGCTTTAGCTTGGGCTTCAGCAAAAACCTGAGGCAGGTGTTTGGTGATGAGAAGAAATACTGGTTGCTGCCTGTGTTTTCAAGGTATGTTTGGTTTTTAATGCTTCATTTTTATAAACTGTTGAATAATCAGGATCCACAGGATCTGGGGGGGTGGCTAGTTTTTTGAAATTAGAGATAGTAATAGTACCTTTCAAAAAAACAGTTCTTAGAAGGGGTTTTTTTTGTATGTATGACACTAATTCTGAATTTTTCAGTCTAGGGGATGGTTGTTCCTTCCCAACTTGCCTTGTTAATCAGGATTCTGAGCAAGCTTCCACACCTGGTGGTCTCAATTCAGCATCCAAAAAGTAATCTGCTTTTTGTTACTCATTTCAAATAGTTGATATTCTGTTTTTTCCTGTGCACATATAAATGGAACTTAAAAGTGGTAAGCAAATTAAGACTATGCTATTAATAGATAGAAGTCAGATTTTAAACAGCTAAGCTGTAATTCAGCTAATCCTCAGACTTATATTTGGTTTTATGGAAATAAGGTGGGTTTTCCGTCTCCCCGATATGCTTTGTCTCGGTTCAGTGGCATTCCAGGACCTGAATTTTCCACATCTGCCTAACACTCAGTATCAGCAACATTCTGTTCTGCATACATATGAGATGGTTAGTCAGCCTGCCTGTAATATGGATGCATTACCTTGCAAGGCTTTCAGGGGAGGCATGCTTCTTTGTATGTGCGGAAAGATGCTTTGCATAAGGGAATCCCAGGCCTCAGCACTTGTGCCAGAGCACAGGGAGCTGCATATTAAATGCATGTTTTGTTTCTGCTGATAATAGGGCATATTTTCTTAATTCTTATCCTTCATGGACACGACATCTTTAAAGTGTGAAAAGTATGCAGATGCTCCTTAAACTAAATAAATATAATATATAT